ACCCTGCATTACACAGCTCTATTTCAGCCAGCTCTTCATGCTCTATTACTGCAGTGACATGACATTTCAGAGTGTGTGTGTGTGTGTGTGTGTGTGTGTGTGTGTGTGTGTGTGTGTGTGTGTGTGTGTGTGTGTGTGTGTGTGTGTTTTACAGACGCCCAGGGGCTGCAGGCACTGCGTCAGACTGGATCCAGACGTGTGTGTGTGATGCTGTGGCTCAGTGATGCTTCCAAGGTCAATAGAAGGCGCGTGTGTGCAAATATGTGCATAAAAGTCCTTTTCTATTTCACCTTCCTCCTTCCTTTTATTCACACTACCCCAAACAGAGAAGAGTAAATACAACATGCTTCCAGAAACTTCCAAGGAAGAGTGAACTGACTCTGTTTGACATTTTGGGATGTGAGTATATTCGAACTGGAGACAAAACACTTCCTAGCTTTGCTTTGAAGTCTTTTAGCTCTCCATCACACCATTTCTGAACATATAGCTGGCGCAAAATTGATGTAACACAACTGATAAACATCAGCCACTGCCATCAGCATTGTCAACCTGGCATTATAATACATCTGTGCATCCCTACAGCACGCAGCCGCTTGAGTTACTTTTTAGTTTGTCTTAAAAAATAAAAGGCAACATCAGGGCTCATTTTTGTATCCATTTTGCACCCAGTGGAGCAACAAATTTTAGTACCGTTTCATTTCATTGAGCACAAACAGACGGAAGAAGTGACAAGTGAATGTTTTGAGTGGTAAAAGCAAGCAAACTGGCGAAACGTATATCAAAAATGGTTGCCTGGCTTGCTAATTACTTGATAAAATCTCACCAAAAACTACATTTTTTGATCAAAAACCAAAAACCATTTTGAGTTGTCACACCACTGAGCAGCACGATTTTATATCTTCTGACAATAAACAACCTGATAGCTAAAAAAAAAACTGCAGGGTCACCATTGTGACACACTGGAGGAGATCCTTGAAATGATCTAAAAAGAGCAGCAGCAGCCCTGAAAACAGTCTGAAGGCAGACAAGAAGACTACTTTAAAAGGGAGTGTGGTTACCACAGACATAATAGAAAGATACTGAAGTAGCAAGTTTCATTAATTATCAAATTATTATTATTAAATCCTTTTTTTTTTTAAATGAGACAGCCACATGATAAATATCACATAATCACAAATTAAGAAAATGTGTGCATAACTAGTTGCAGACAAAGAACCTGTTAAAATATTCCAGTTAAATCCAAAATTGTAACTTTGTAATCTTTTTGTAGCTCGTTCTATTCATATCCAGTTAAGTATTTGAATACAGTTTTTCAAAAATCAGTCTGAACAAGACGTACAGTTAATGCTGAAGCGTCCTGACATTGTAAGTCCTGTGTTTAAATCAAAGGCTCAGATGTAGGCAGGCAATCTTTGCAGCAGAGGCTTGTAAATAAACATCATAAAATGCTGCTCTCTTCAGTTCGCTGAGGAGTACCACCCCACTTTTTCATATTAGATGCAATAGTGAGCAGATACAGAAGCATGCATATGACCAATGTCACCACAGTCAAGCACAGACTGAATTGTGGATTATACACCGATCTATTTGTATTTATTTCTATAAAAATATCCAATCTTTGGCATCAGTTTTCTTGAAAGGTGTTCCACATGATTTTTCAAAGTGAGTCTAGCTTCCAGACACAGTTCCAGAAGACTTGAGGTCTTATGCTACCTCAGTGTGCCACTTTCTCTTTTAAGGAGGCTGTCGCATTAATTAAACCTGAAATGGCTGCATGGCGATGACGAGTATGTATGCTGGTGCCAGTCAAACAAAGTGGTTCACAAACGTTTTCTGGTGCATGGTACTTCAGAAGGAAAAAGAAGTTTACATCACACATCCCGGAGATTTTATCCATTATAAACAATAAAAAATGTCTAATTTTGCTTTTGAAAGACTTTTCTGGTTCACATGTCAATATATTCCTAGTCAAGATACTGACCCCATATTGCTCCCATCCATCAGAGTGTGTGTGCGTGCCTGACAATGTTAGAAAAAGACCTGTATGAATTTGTATGTGCAACTGGGTGAATGGGACATATATTAGAAAAGGCACTGTATAGGTAACGTTTAACGTATTAGCTGCTAAAACTTTTGATCACTTTCCCTAACAAACTAAATCATTCAACTTCCCTTTTCATTTTTCACCTGGTTGTCTGTGTGCCACCTCTGGGGCCAGCCCCGCAGTTTGAAAACCACTGATTTAATAACTCTCCACATGCTTTACAAGCCAACTTTGAGCACAAATGCACAGGTAATGAGAGGTGAATAAATAATTGTAAAGCTGTCTATGGTTACAGAAATATTTCAAAATTAACTGGATTTAAAGGATTTAAACAGTCGTCTGGTGATGTAAATTGATTCCAAGGTCAGTTTCTCAGTATATTATGGTATTTATCATGTTACACAATAACATATAAAGTACAGCTATGAAGCATTTTAGCATCTGCTTGAATGACTGAATGAAAGGCGGAACATTATTTGTCTGGGTCAGCAGGTTTTCCTTGAAAACCTTCAAAACATAATAAAACCCACTGCATCTGACCCCATAGACATCACCATAAAGTATATAGCTCCAATACAGAACACCGCCTCGCTCTAAACACTGCGTTCCTTCAGTTTGAGCAGCTCATCTCTTTCTAAATGACTCAGGTCACTGCTGACTGATGAGGTCCTCGTCACTCAGCCTTATTCTCCTTCTGCTGCTCTCTGGCACTGATGTTCATATACAGCCATGAAACGGGGAGGGTGAAGCTCAGCTTGCTGCCCATCCCCCCCCCCCTCCCTTCATTCTGGCTGCTACATCAATTGCTGCAGAGAGAGAGAGAACGACAGAGAGCCCGCGATGGTGTCACCCTCCCTCTTTCACTCTCTGCCCCCACCAATCACAGCCCTCGCTTCACCTTAGCCAAACGTAGAGCAGGTGTTGCCTCCCTGCGTCCTTGTCTTTACTGGGAAACATGCACGCAGTGTTTACATTGCTCAGGAAAAAGATGATTCACTCGGCCTGCCTTCAGCTTTTCACAAACTGGGTTATGCAATAGCCAGTTACAGTGTTTAAATAATTAAAGAATGTAAAACACGCGCAGATAATTGGCATATGAAGCTGCATTGTGTAATGTAGTAGGGCGTGCAGATGATATCATTTCTATCAAAACTCAGTCTTCTGGCCTTGTATTAAAAAAAATGTAGACTAACTTACAAAAATGCAGGTCTGGGCTGAGCTCAGCCACAGTGCAAACATCCAGCATCAGGCTCAGAATACTTTTTATAATTTAATACTGTACTCTTGGATTCAAAGTAGATGTGAAGTTACTGATGATCGAGGCTCCTCTTTGTGACAATGCACAAATCCTTTCACTTCATGTCAAAGAACAGAAAAATATACTAATATATATATACTAATATATATATATACACTAATATATATATATATATACACTAATATATATATATATATATATATATATATATATATATATAGAGAGAGAGAGAGAGAGAGAGAGAGAGAGAGAGAGAGAGAGAGAGAGTGTTTAATGGGATGGGGTGGGTCTGAGCCAGAATTCTGCAGCAGCACCAGTGAGGCAAATATACCTTAGAGCACAGCTGGGTGTAGCTTAAGAATTTTCAGATTCCAGCAATGTCATGACCAGAAAGTGACACATTAGCTCCTGGTACAGAGCAACTGTGTGGATTTGTATTAGTGAAATGTGACACCGAATCAATACTATGAACAACAGACGCCAAATGAAGCAAATCCTGCAGCCGGGGTAGGGCACGGTACCAAAAAAAAGAGGAGAGAGAGAGAATGAGCAGCTTGGTGTAAGAATTTAGGGACGAACTGGATACATGGCTTCACATTAAGCCATCTCTATCAGGTTTTATGGGCTCGTTCCTGAGCCTTTCGACGACCACTAACACTTGCACCCAGTTGAACCTCCTGCGCCTCCACCATAGTCAGGCCTGTTTCATCACAGCACACCTACCGCTAGAGCACCAGCCCAAATGTAATGAGCCGAAATGACACAATCGGATACTGAACCTTGAGTTAACAGTGTCCTAATGATGCAGGGTTACACAGACTGCCGGTGCCGCACCGACTCTACTCAAAGGGCACGATGACTAAAAGCCGTCCGCGGAAAAATATACAAAAAATGCGGAATTTCTTGCGCAGCGCCAGTTTTAAGGCAACTTTCACGACTCTGGTGCACTCCGCCATTAACGTGAAGCGGAGCATAGGTGGTGCTCTCCGGCTGAGAAAGGGTGTTTTACGCAGCTGAATTATGCTCCATCGGATGGGGTGAGGCACTGCTGCAGTCGGGGAATCCCACGGATCGAGACCGCTAATCTTCATTCATTTTGCAATAAACAGCATCGCATTACATTGTGTTGGCTATTATTAGCTCGCCAGCGTGTGAACAGTACGTGCATCCTGCATGTTGTGGCACAATATTCAGGCAGAAACAGATCGGGATGCAGCTCACAGGCAGAGGCAGATTAGTCCTTAAATAAACGTAAATTGTGTCTAAAAGGGGCGCACACGGGCTTCATTACTCTGTGGCTTCTCATCCCACCGGAGGAGGATGCCAACATCTTCTATTAGTGGGCTAATCATCGCTTGTCAACAGCGTTTTATACGCTCTGTCGCTTGAAATGCAATTGCGCATCCGCGCCGCAGGAGACCAACGAGACGGAGCAGCCTCTGCAGGGCATCCAGTGCTTCCTCACTACACCTCTGCGGTTTACATCGGGATACAATGGAACATCACCTTCACCGTTATCATCGTCACCACTCAGATGCACTAGCAGCCACCCGCATCCTGTCCCCCCCGCTCCCCGGCCCTTTTCTTTTTAAATATATACTCGCTCTCTGGCATATACACAGCTGAATCGGGGTGCAGCAAGACCATATCACGCACAAATTCTGAGCACCATAAATTAGGAGAAAAAAAAAGTCTTACTTTCGCCGACCACCGCCTTTAATCCGATAGGTGCCATGATGCTGCCTCTGAGTGCTGGACCGACTGATTACCCTCTGCTTACTCTCTCTCTCCTCCTCCTCCTCCTCCTCTCTGATCGTGTCACACCGCTGCGGAGGAGCCTCCACTTGGAAACGTCACTGCGTATCCTTCCGCATCATCCACACTGGTGATGTGCGGACGTTTGGCTACAGCTGTGTGTATTAGCTCAAACTAATTCCTACTAAAGACATTTATTTGTTAAGCCTTACCCGCTCATTTGTCCAAATAGAATTTAAAGATTCCTGCAAAATACCCTTGTTTTTCACAGAACCTGAAATAAATACATGATAAGAAAATAAAGTAACCCTTCATTTTTAAACAAGTTTTAATGCATATAACCTTAAGCAGATGGCACAATAATAGATTCATAGTTTTATATACATAATAATATAGTGAATCATTACATTTATACAGGAAGACAGTGATGTGCAAAAGTCTTGTGTCATTGATTTAGTGAAATGTGCAAACATAAATGGTAGTATAGTATAAGACAAAAACACAGTATACACAATTCTAACAAGCTTGAAAGTCAATATTTGCTATGACCTTGCAACTTTGTTCTTCATAGACTCTTAAAGATATTCAAAGAAAGCTTGCTTAAGTAGTCTTCAATAATAGTTCTCCAGGCTTCTTGAAGGGCATTCAAAGGTCTTCTTTGGATGTTGGCTGCCTTTTGACCCGTTCTCTGTCAAGATCATCCCACACTGCTTTAGTAATATTGGGGTACAGGTACCAAGCCAATCCATGACTGATAGAATCAATATTACTAGATACTCACTGTTTACCTTTGATGACTGCCTCGTACATACTAACGATGATTTGAACCAACAGTTTGAAATTTGGATTCATCACTCCATAATTTTCAGTCTAGTTCCTTTGCAGTTCATGCACAACTCAGCTTTTCCCCTTCTTTAGGAATGGCTTCTTGATAGCCACCCTTCAACTCTGGCCATGTCTAATGAGCTTTCAGTGAATGGTAAATGGATGAACTGAAGGACAAGAAGTATCTCTTATCGCCTGTGTCAGAACCTGAGAGCAAGAACAGGTCGCTAGTACCAAAGTGTCTAAAGATACTGTTTAAAATTGGTTCTTTGCCAAGCTGTCTGTTATGTGTAGACACTGGTTCATCCCCTTGAGTTGTGGGCCTTTTTTACGCTTAAACCATTCATGTTGATTCATCAAGTTAAAATTAACGTTTCAGAAATGAGGTATTTTTGTTTCTTTGTTCCTTTTCCCCTCAGAGTAGCCTATAAAAGTTGTAAAAATCAATGGGGACCACAGCAGACATAAGTTCTCAGCTGTTTGACAAACTGCATTCATAAACTGTACAGGTGAGATGCAAAGAAGACCAGACAGGTTTTTTTTTATTAGAACTAATAAACATAATAGTCGAAGAAAAACTGGACCATAAATTTATCAAAAGTACCGGAACACTCAGCACATCCAGTAAGTTCTTAATAATTAAATTAAAACCTACAAAAAGACACAATCAGCACATATAGTTCATTCAGTTTAAGCAATGTTTTCACTAAAATGCATGCTCACAAAATGTTGTGTCTCACTCCCATTTCTTATTGTTGCATTTAAAGCTCTATTTGGAAGATCCAACCATACAAAATATTAGTTTTTGCCATTTGTTAAGTGGTCTTAAACTTTTGATCAAATGGTCCAGTTTATTGACTCTAGTAAGCAGATGTGATGCATTGCAGTCTCCTTTTATGACACTTTTACTTCACTTTATTTTCAGCTAACTTTTGGAAGTTGCAGAGCTTAATTTTCAGCCTTCATTGCTGATAAAACCATAAATTCATAGACTGTTTCAGCAGCATTAGAGATCATTGCATAAACGTGAACAATTTAACATCCAGCATTTTAGATGGGTTTTTTTTTAAAGGATCAACTCGCTTACTGAAATATTCAACATGTTTGGAAGAGCTGGTTTGGATACTGGCCTGCTTCAAAATTATAGTAAAGAAATATGTTTTCCACAAGGGGGCAGCATTTATCTGTGTGTGGCAAAATGCTACTGGGTCCAACCATAGACTCGCTTTCAACGTTGAGCCCAAAGCGCGCACTTCAAAGAGCCTTTAGTTAATTTCTCCTGATTTATAATCACAATATAAATATCATGAAATCATTAAAAGAAACATTTTAAAGAAACTTACTAATAAACGCACTAAGGTTGTATTTTTAACATCTGTCAAGTTTAACATTATTAAGTTTGCTGCTACAAGCAGACACTCTCGCGTACAGTACGCACTGTGATACTCTTAAGCTCCTGGTTCTGGCCACACCCTTAGCACAGCCGACTGAACACGTTGGACCAGTGATGACTCCCAGAGGGTGTGTCCCGCTGCTGTGAAACGCAGCACTGTTCACCAGCACGTCCTCCTCCTCCTCTTCCTCCACCGCCTCCTCCTCCTGTTTTTTAGAAAAAGCTGAAGGCGCCCACACTCAACGCACCAACGCCAGAACAGTGCTCCTCTCTAAGGGGGGAAAGTGAGAGAAATTCCCGGAGGGTTTGCCCGGAGACTGCTGGAAATTTTCCCCTGGAGTAAAACCTGCCGAGTTAGGATACTTAGAGGATATCAGAGGCTCTCCTGTAACCATGGGGGACGTGGTTTCCTCTCACCTGGATGAGGATAGGCGGGAGATGATTACAGGTAAGATGAGTACCGTTGCGCGTTATAACAACCTTATTACAGAGTTTTGACCATGTTGTTGCCTTTAAGAAAATCGATTTATATTACTTTTATCATCTAAACTGCAGAAATCAAGTATAGACGGTTACTTTTGTGCCACCGCCTTGTAGGTGTGCTTTACTTGAAGGCTTCCCATGAATCTCAACTCCACTGCAGCCCTGTTTCTTAGAGATAATAAGTAGGTTTCCGATGTTGCAGCATGTTTGTATAAGTTATGGACTGACTGCTATTTAAGTCTCAGATTGCTCCACAGAGTGAGCTGGGCAGCAGGTCTGGGCGTCTATTAAAGTCATGCGAGTAGAAGAACAATACAAAGACTGAGATACTTCAATGGATATAACGTGATCCCTGTCCTAGAAGTAGCTTGGTGATGCGTTCGAGTATCAAAACCACTTCAGGAATTTGGGAAAAACTAGTGTTTTTTGTTTTTGTTTTAATGCATGGAGTTCAATCTTCCAGACTTGTCATTTCCTAAAACTTTTGTATCAGGGTCATTTCAGCCTCAGCTGGGATGCCCCTTTAGTTCAGGGTTGTAATCCTGTTTGTGTGCATACGCTGGCAGAAGTACTCCTATGAGGAAACCCAGAATTATTCTCTAGAGGCTCAGGCACCGAGTGTGTTTGTTGGATTTTCCTTTTGTGAGCAGAAATAGAAAAAAAGTGGGAAGAATCACCCTGTTAGAATCTGGCTGTTGTAAAAAAAAAAAAAAAAAAAAAGGTAGTTCACATATAAAAGGATAAATATCAAATGTAACTTCTCAAATATGAGGGGTTTTGTTTTTGCCTTTTGTGTGACTTTGGGGGTTCTGGCCAGAGAAATACATGTTTTCTGCTGTCTTATACTGATCCAAAGTTGATCCAAAGATGTGTGACATTCAGAATGAGCAGAAACTGGGCTTTAGAAAGTACAAGCAAGGTGTTCAATGTGAAAGTTCTTGACCTTAGGAACAAAGCAATCTGGTCTTACTGGCTTTTTGGAGCCCTTAGCCACATGTGCTGGTCTTCATTCTTGAAAGGCGCTCAGTCAGGTATCATCATGTGTCATAATGTAAGGCTTGTTAATGATAAAATATGTTAAAACTATAAAATGTAGGGTCCACATGACTGTGGAAAGCTGCGAAGGTAGAAAATATGACATTTAGCTACATGCAGGCCTTCATCGTTAAAATACGCGAGTGCAGTATTTCCTGCTTATGAGTCCACTCAGAAAAAGATCCATATAAAGAGACTAGTCAGAGGGAGAGGGGAAGATAACAAGTGAAGCAGGTAGAAACATGTCACAGGCCGTCTGACTCTCACACACACCCCTCTCTGTGTTCTTCCTGCCAGTATCTTCTACAAATCAACACAGTGAAAACACCCACGTCAACAGAAGACAAGTGAACACCTGTGCATGTCTTTAAAGAAAAAAGAAAACTTTCTTTTTATCCAGGTCCCACTTGTCGATGTGTTTGCACCTTTTAAGTTCGTGTGTGAGACAGGGTAAAGACCAGTCAGCGTTTTTGAGTCAGGAATCTTGTTGTGTCTAACTCCCACAAAGGCAACTACTCAATGATCTCCTCCCCTATAGGACCCACACAGCAACCCCATGTGTGTGAGACACATGCAAATCATAACTGCCTGCTGACCCACATGTTCACCCATCTATGGTCTGCTTAAGGCAGAAATAACCAACAGACTCAAACCTTGGCCTAGATATGTGCTGCCTACTATCAAACCCTTGAAATATAAGCGATCATCCTCAAAGAATAAGTTAGTAGATTAATCGTTTCACAGCAGGTTTTAGATAAAAACAGCCAAAGAATTAGAGTCAAATCCAGTCAGCTGTTTCTGGTGATCAGCTGACTTTTTTGGATCGAGTCACAGTGTTCACCTTTGAGGAGCTGCACGTGTTGCTCTGAAATTTGCTACAAATGAAATGAAGATGGTAGCTTTGATGCTAAACATTAGCATGACAGCATTGTTACTTGGAACAAAAAAAAAAAACTGTTCAAAAATAAAGTTAAAATAAAAAAAATGTATTTATATTAGAGATCAATAGAAAAAGAATTAACACTGCAGTAAAAAAGATAAGAAGCTAATAGTTAAATTCAGCAACAAAACATGAACTTTGCCATGTGAGTGACACCGCCCTCTTTTGCCAACATGACGCAAAACAGGTAATTATAAAAAGGGACAACATGCCTAACTCAGGCACACCTCAGACTGTTTGTGCACACGGTTTTATAAATCTGTTGAAAATAATGTTCACGCTCATGTCTGCCTTTTTTAGTTTTATTAGTATTTTACCATTTTTATTCATCTACTCACCTATCTGGCTAAGCCTTTTGATGTTAAACAGTGGATGATGATTGATG